TGCGTCAATTGCCCTTGTCCAGCTTTGCATCGTATAAAGCAAGGTCGGAACCGGAGAGATGAGACAGGTGGGAAGGCCTGTATTCTGAGAAGCTGGTGACATTTTCTACTGATCTAAAATGTAGTCACGTTGTATGTCCTTACCGAACAATTGCTAGAGCTTTCGAGAGCAGGCTATTTACTCCATTACTCCATTGCTAAACGGATCGGCGATTGATTGTATGGAACGAGGTCATGGGATTCAGATGAGTCGGGCGCCCCTGACCAAGTTGCTTATTTGTCCTAGTTCCTCTATAAGCGTCAGCTTCTTGGCGTGGCGGCTGAATCGAAACGAAATATCTTGTTTCAATTATCCTGGATTGATCGGCATCCATCGGCCATGCGCGTATAGGTCTGCATTGGCCAGATGAGCTTCACTAGTATTAGAATCCTGTGGCTCTCTGAATATCTGGGACATTCGCGCAGAAATACGCGATTGTATTCTGTTAGCATGCGCCCGGCAGATTCATTTTCAACTTTCCATCCTCAGTATTAGTAAAACTGTCTTTCGCGACCAATTCACGCGTTTCCTAGCTCACGTTGCTAGGTAGCCAGTTTTTCCGGTTCTGTTTGTACTTAGTACCATAGAAGTAAGTCTTAAAGAGTCGTTCGGTAATAGAACTCTTTGCCAATATGTGTTGTGCATTCCCGCACTGTGCTCAAGAGACGCCTGAATAATTACCACACAAACTTCCAAGCCCTTGTCTAACAGATACTAAAAAATACTATTCTCTTTATTTGAATAGATCTTTGTGTACATTAAATGTGTTTCCTGTGAACATTTCATAGTGAAAAGCGGTGAAGGTCTTGTACGCTGCTATTTCGCAAACAACTCACCTTTTAGCCATTTATATTTCATAAATTTTATGCATTTCATATACTAGAGCAACCTGTAATAGTTTCTGCATCTCCGCTACCTCTATGCATTCCTGCACCATTTCAATGGAGTTTTTAAGGGCTTCTGTCCTTTACTCCAAATATACTTACTGACCATTTCTTTCCTGCCGCAATAAATCAGGATCATGTACGGTGTACGAGCAAGTCAAGGATCTTGTGACCCAATGCTATGGCCAATACTGGATCCTCACGCAAGATGAGAAAGACTACCTGCCGGGCTGGATGCCTAACAATTCCACAAAACCACCAGACCAGTTACCGAAGGAGTTCCGTTACACTACTGCAAAGGAACGTGAAGGTTATCCACGATGGGGTCAACTAGCCTGGTACTCAGGCGGTGGCTATGTGCATGAGATGCGCGGCTCCTCGGAGAAGTTGCTGAGTCAGGTGAAGACACTGCAGGAAACTGGCTGGCTGGACGATCGCACGCGCGCCATTATCATAGAATTTGCTGTCTACAATCCCGCCGTCCACCTTTTTGGTATGGTCAACATTATGTTTGAGTTGCCCGGAACCGGGGGCATACTTCCCTCCTACAGGATTGAACCAGCAAATCTGCTCTCCTTTGTTGACGTTAGTCAAATGACATTCGAGATTATATGTCAGGTGAGCTCCTTTTGGTGTCAAGTTTTTGAACTTTTCACTTTTACTCAGTTAAGCCATTTTTACCCAGATTGTATTTATTCCTCTACCTTGGAG